GTAAAAAGTAGAAAAAGTAAAAAATAAAAAGATCGAAATGGCTGATATGTTAATAATATAGGACTGATTATATTTTCCAAAACAAAGAAACGAGTCTTATCAATTAATAATAGAAGCTGCACAATATATGCAATAACATTTTATTACAGCATTTTCAGAGGGAACAATGATCATACCATTCAATGTCACATGGAGTGAAATTCTTTATTTAAAAACAAAAATATGATAACATCAATAACATTTTCCTTTAGATGTGAATTTAATAGGAAAAAAACGCAGACTTTGCGAAATGTCAGAAGATATTAAAAGACCGAGAGTCGAGCATTACTTCCGATCTTTTTGAAAATTAAGGTAAGACCCTTAAGGATACAAATTCTCTATTAAGCGCCACCTTATAAATATTAAGCTTTTGAGTCCAATTATATATGACGCCCCAGTTTTATGCAAGAAAGATTAATCGACAAACTGTCATTGTAACTATATATATATATAAGAATAACAAACTCTCAGATTTTGTGTATGTATAGAAATGACCCACGAGTCAGTTTTTATACGACCGCAAAAAAAATTTGCGATCGTATATTGGTATGACGTTGGCGTCGTCGTCGTTGTCGTCTCGTCCGGCGTCGTCCGAAGACACATTGGTTTTCGCACTCCAACTTTAGTTTAAGTGAATGGATCTCTATGAAATTTTACCATAAAGTTCAATACCACAAAAGGAAGGTTGGGATTGATTTTGGGGGTTATGGTACCAACAGTTAAGGAATTAGGAGACAAAAAGGGGCCAAAAATAAGCATTTTTGAAACTTCCAGACATAACTTGTGACATTGTACCACAAGGTTCCATATCACAAAGGGAATGCTGGGATTGATTTTGGGGGTAATTGCCTCAACATTTTAGGAATTAGGGGCCCAAAAAGGGGCAAAAAACAAGCATTTTTATATGGACAAATACTTTAGTACAAAACATAATTTAAAGCAGTGTAAGGGAGATAAATCGAATACATCATTTGTATTACCTCCCTTACACTGGTTATAAACAATTGAGACAATTTAAAACAGTGTAAGGGAGGTAATCCACTTACAACGTTTTGATTACTTCCCTTACACTGCTTTTAAATTATGTTTAAAGAAATGCATATTTATAAAGGAAGAACAGTAAAAATATCTGCAAATGTTTCATCTTTTTTTTTACAAAAAAATCCATATGAAAGATTTGACACCATATTTTAAATTCTATTATAAAATAGATTAAGTTAGCACTATGGTAAATTTAAATGGGTAATTATGGTTGCAAATTCCATTGGAAATTTGAATTGAGATTATGACCATATCTTGAGGGAAAGAACTTTTTGGGGGGAAAAGATAGGGGGGGTTAGGGGGGTAAAAAGAAATTGTGGGGGGGGGGCAAATTTTTCTCATTTCAGATTTCAGAAATTAAAAAGAATTATTCTTCAAATATTATTTTTTTTCAATTTTCAAATATTGAAAAATTGCAAGAAGTAATCTTTAATTGCACAGTATGGCGCATTAGATTTGTAAAAGCTTTGACCACATTTATTTATTTGTGATGCCAAATCTGACCGTGTATTTAGATTTTTAATTTTGGGTCCAGTTTTCAAATTGGTCTACATTAAGGTCCAAAGGGTCCAAAATTAAACTTAGTTTGAATTTAACAAAATTTGAATATATGGGGTTATTTGATATGCTGAATCTAAACATGTATTTAGAATTTTGATTTCGGGCCCAGTTTTCAAGTTGGTCCAAATTGGGGTCCAAAATTAAACGTTGTTTGATTTCAACAAAAATTGAATATATGGGGTTCTTTGATATGCTGAATCTAACCATGTATTTAGATTTTTTATTTGTGGGCCCTGCTATCAAATTGGTTCATATTGAGGTCAAAAGGGTCCAAAATTAAACTTTGTTTTATTTCATCAAAAATTGAATTATTGGGGTTCTTTGATATGCCAAATCTAACCGTGTATTTAGATTTTAAATTTTGGGTCCCTTTTTTGAATTGGTCTACATTAACGTCCAAAGGGTCCAAAATTAAACTTAGTTTGATTTTAACAAAAATTGAATATATGGGGTTGTTTGATATGCTGAATCTAAACATGTATTTAGATTTTTGATTTCGGGCCCAGTTTTCAAGTTGGTCCAAATTGGGGTCCAAAATTAAACTTTGTTTGATTTCAACAAAAATTGAATATATGGGGTTCTTTGATATGCTGAATCTAACCTTGTATTTAGATTTTTTATTTGTGGGCCCCGCTATCAAACTGGTTCATATTGAGGTCAAAAGGGTCCAAAATTAAACTTTGTTTTATTTCATCAAAAATTGAATTATTGGGGTTCTTTGATATGCCAAATCTAACCGTGTATTTAGATTTTAAATTTTGGGTCCCGTTTTTTAAATTGGTCTACATTAAGGTCCAAAGGGTTCAAAATTAAACTTAGTTTGATTTTAACAAAAATTGAATTCTTGGGGTTCTTTGATATGCTGAATCGAAACATGTGTTTAGATTTTTGATTATGAGCCCAGTTTTCAAGTTGGTCCAAGTTGGGGTCGAAAATTAAACTTTGTTTGATTTCAACAACAATTGAATATATGGGGTTCTTTGATATGCTGAATCTAACCATGTATTTAGATTTTTGGGCCCCGTTATCAAATTGGTCCACATTGAGGTCAAAAGGGTCCAAAATTAAACTTTGTTTGATTTCATCAAAAATTGAATTCTTTGGATTCTTTGATATGCTGAATCTAACCATGTATGTAGATTTTGGATATTGGACCATAATAGGTAAATTAAGAAATTTTAAGTTCTTAGACCACATTCATTCTGTGTCAGAAACCTATGCTGTGTCAAATATTTAATCAAAATCCAAATTCAGAGCTGTATCAAGTGTGAATGTTGTGTCCATACTTGCCCCAACTGTTTAGGGTTCGACCTCTGCGGTCATATCAAGCTGCGCCCAGCGGAGCATTTTATTAACTAAATGCACGAGAAGCTAACTACTTATCTTGTTTTTTTCTGACCAAAGGTTATTGCTATAGTCATATATGTATAAACTGCTCATTGATACTAAGATTATGTATATTGGTTTGCACAATTTAAAGAAATTTACTGATTATAAAGTCTAAAAATCCTTGAGTAAACCCATCAATCTTTCTTGTTATCAGCAGCGAACTTTAACTAAAGTTTGCTACATAACATCTTGCTATGTTTATCTAAACTTGAATATTTCAATAGTTTCATAGGATTTTTCCCCCGTAGATCTATGTGCTTCCATTACAGTTTTTTTTGTTGTTGATTTCACGAAACAGAATGGCAATTGATAGGTATTATGAATTTAGAAAATAAAAACATTACATACTCCATACTGACACTGAAAAAAACCATTCAATAGCCATATACATTAGATAATGTTCAGTTTACCTTTTAGATGTAGTTGTTGACCAGCAGAAGGAGTAGTGTAGAATAATTTATTTTTATTTTTATTTTTTATCTTCCTAATTATTGTAAAAAATATCATTTAAATACAATATTATTAAGTTCCACTGCCTTATGGCTTTTTCAGAAATTTGATTTAATTTTCAATTTTTACATAATGTGATGTAATGTGACCATTTCTGGAAGCACAATATATATATATATATATGTTGTGTACAAGTTATCATTTTGTACAAATTATAATTTGTATTTTGACTTTGTATAAATTGTAATTTGTACAATAAGTGCTTGTACAAATTACAATTTGTACAAAATTTGACTAAAATTCACTTAAAACTTGTGCAATAATTTTTAGTATGGATTTTGTTATAAAAAAGCATTGATACACACTTTAGAATTTGTATTCAATGACCACACAATAAACCTTATTTACAAAATACAAAAATACCAAGATGGAGACACGAAATGTACATGCATGCCAGTTAATTCTGATAGTGCAATAGAAATTGGCCCCAGTGACAATTCTGATAGTATAATAGAAATTGGCCCCAGTGATAATTCTGATAGTATAATAGAAATTTGCACGAGTGACAATCAGAATGACACTGACGTTGAAACACCAATCATACGTGGCAGGAAGCGTGCGCTGTCTGGCCAACAGATCCAAGCCAAGTATCTAACCAAGAAAATGAAACGGAAATTATCAGAACTTGCTGTGGGGGATGATGTCGTTATACCAATTTCTCAGTATGGTCGTGCCTAATTGATCCTCGAAATATCTTAGGTGTAATTACTGAATCTGGAGAATTTGGGTACTGCATTGGAACAGCTGTAGAAATTTGAACAGGATTTGTGTAGAGAAATCAAATTGAAGCTGTTAAAGACACATCTTTATTCGCAGTAACGGTTGCTGAGCTTCAACTTTTGCTACGTGACGCAGTTAAAAATCTTACAAAAACTTGTGGTCACCGGTTTCTTTCATGTAACTGCAAAGGGGTGCAGCACTTCTCAATGTTAATGTAAAAAAACAAAAGATATTATGAAATTCCCGATGCCATAATTCACTCACATGCTCAAACAAATGATACCGAACTATTTTTTTGTATTTTGTAAATAAGGTTTATTGTAAGGTCATTGAATACAAATTCTATAGTGTGTATCAATGCTTTTTTAAAACAAAATCCATACTTAAAATTATTATACATGTTATACTAGTAAGTGAATTTTAGTCAAATTTTGTACAAATTGTAATTTGTACAATCATTTTTTGTACAATTTGTACAAAGTCAAAATAAAAATTATAATTTGTACAATTTTTTTGTACAAATTATAATTTGTACAAAATGATAACTTGTACACAACATATATACATGTATATTGAAAGGTTAATATAGCCATGCTAGCATCATCAGTACTTTTCGATGTTTTATAATCAGCTTGATATAAGGATATCCTTGTACACAGAATTACAAAACCCTTGGAAGTTTTATCACAAACGTTTAATAAAAATATTTGTAACTAAAAGTTTAATTTTATTGGCTATCTTTGAATTTTCATCTCATCTGCTCCTTAACTGCTTTCATCATTATCTTGTTCTATCAGGTCATCATACGAAATTTTTTTAGTGTTTAATAAAACCTTTTTGTAGGACCAGATTTTCTTTTCCAAAACGTCTGATGTAACTGCTGATGAAACTTATCTTGGCGAAACTGGATTGTCATCATTACTTTGAGGTGATAAGTTTTCACTGAAACTCTCTTCAGTCAACTAAACTTGTTCTTGGTCAATTTAATGTAATCTATGAACGGATCCTTCCAGTAATGACTGCGCCATTTCATCACTGAACACTTCAGACAAGTCCTCATCAATCTGTGATGAAGCTTCGTCAGTGTCATCATTTTTCTTTGGTTGAGGAATTGGCATAAATCCAGTCCTTATCAACAACTTGCTTGGAGAATTTTCAGCTCTTATTCTATCTCTCTCTTCTCGACGTAGTCTGGCTTCTTCTTTTTTCTTTAGATATTCATCTTCATCCTCGCTAGAATCTCTGAAAGAAAGTAATAAAATACTTGATAGTAATAAAACACACACGAAAACAAACTAATAATGTCGCATGGTGGTGTTTTAAATAACAGTGACATAAAGATTGGAAAATTCTCAAATGTAAGAGTTTCATCAACTATGATAGATGAATTCAACAACCAATCAACATGCACGAATAGTTTAATTGCATTGTAATTCAGAAATTTCCAACTGAAATGGTTTTATTTTTATTACCTCTGAAGGTTAATATATACATCTGTTTATGTAGTTCATACGTGTTTCTCGTTTCTCGTTTTTATATAGATTAGACCGTTGGTTTTTCCGTTTGAATGGTTTTACACTAGTAATTGTTTGGGGCCCTTTATAGCTTGCTGTTTGATGTGAGCCAATGCTCCGTGTTAAAGGCCGTACCTTGACCTATAATGGTTTACTTTTATAAATTGTAACTTGGATGGAGAGTTGTCTCATTGACACTCATACCACATCTTCCTATATCTATCTACTATCTGTACGGCTTGTAATTAAGATTTTGCGGTATAAATAAAATGATTTGCAATACACGCATGTATACATCTGTCTTAAGTTAACATGTGATCAACGGGAAGACTGGCATATCCCAATTATATTTTACTTAAAAAAGTGTTATTTTACAAAAAGTCTGTGAAATAATCAAGAAATTATTGTAAAACTCCCATTTGTCCGTGTGCAATAAAACACACCGAAGATGTGCACTGCCTATTTTGAACAAATTGAATTAATGGTATTTAGTTTGTATCATTCGAAAAAGTTTTCTTTCAACATTCTTTGAACTTTGCACAGTGTTAAAGCTTGGCATAAACTAGGAACCCTTCATGTGTTTCGGATGGATTTCGGCGACGCAGACAACAATGAGATCAGGAGCTGCTTAGCCTTTCAAGGCACCTAAGTTGATTCTCAAGGCCACCTCGCATGGTCAAATTTAAGTCAGCACTGCAATGTTTTGTTGATGGCTTTTTTTTTTGGTCGACGTTTATCCTGTAGTTCAGGTATGCCTGTCTTCGCTTTTCAGTTTTCGAACATCCCCTATAGTATTTTCGATCTTTTCTTAAATTATTTATCTGATTATCATGAGTTGTCATGCGTTCTTCACTTTCTACCTGTATTTAATTATCAAACAAAAGTTAATATGTACCTTTCTTCACTGTAGTCTGATAGATCTCCATAGTCAATAGGATTCATACAAACTGTGCACATATTGTTTAAATCATCATAGCAATCACAGCAATAGACCGCTGAAAAAGTGAAAAATTTCATTTAGACAAGATCTTTATACATGTATTTATATTTTATAAGTTCTTTAAATCAGTCAAATTATTAATATGTGCAACTACTAATAGCATAAGTCGTATTTGGTACAACTTTTTGAATTTTTGGTTATTAACAATTTTCATTTTTGGATTTGTTGTGGCTTTTCAACTGTTTTGAGTGGAGCGTCACTAATGATTCTTATGTAGACGAAACGCGCGTCTTGGACACCAAGTTATAAGCCTGTTATTTTAATTAGTTTTAATAGGATGTACAATGGATGTTCTATAAAAAAAATGGGATTCATTTTTTTTCCCTAAATATTTCGATCAGAGTTCAAATTTTTGTATAACATGAATAGATGTTGCTAAATGGAACTATCGAGTGAACAATCTCAGTTACGCAACCATTTAAGCCACAATCTATGAAATTTATGAAGTACTAGTAATATATTATGTATTCATGTAGTAATTTCCTTTTGGGACTTTATATATATATATATATATGCATATTAGCACCATTCAACATCCAAGCTATCTATGTGGAACTTGCAAGCTGCAATATGTTGGTGAAAAAAAAAAAATTTATAGACTTGTGTCTTTATTTTGTATTATAAGATGTTTAATATGTGTTCGTCAGTCAACTAGAAAACTATATATACAACCTGAGGATAACACTTTCAGCTCTAAAAGAGAATCGAACATAAAATCTGAAAACAAAGATAAAATTATAGTATAAAATTCGATGCATAAACAATTTGTTTTAAATAATTGAAAAACTGCAATATTGTTCAAATACCTCTGCAGTCACCATTTACACAGTGATAAAAGTTTTCCATGTCTGCTATTCTTCCTTCGCGCCCGCAACTAAGACATGCTTTTTGCTCCCATCCAAGATACTTTAGAAGTTTTCGACATATTTCGTATCTGCAATGATATGCATATATCATTATCATACAGTTTAACAATAATCTTTTATATTATATACGATTTGATGTTTATAGTTTTTTAAGCTTGTATTTTTAACAACCACTGGGTAGATGCCACTGCTGGTGGATATTTTCTCCTCGAGGGTATCACCAGCGCAGTTGACATATTGTTGATATGGCCATATTACCTTAGCGATATTTGGCAAAACCTTTCAGAATTTGGGGTACTTAATGCTCTTCAACTTCGTATTTCATTTGGCCTTTTAATTTTTTTGATTCGAGCTTCCTTTGTAGACAAAACGCGAAACAAAATTATAAGCCTGCTGTCTTTGATGAGTTTTTAATATTAGTTTGTGGTAATATAATTATTTTCACAAAGTGAAATTGCATTTCATTTCCAATACTAGTAGTTTACTTTAGCAGAGCAGGGTATGCTATTTTTTCTGGAGCGGCTATAACTGAATTCTTATTGCTCAAAGTTATTTTTTTAGTTTTTGCCTATTACATACAGGTGCGTATGTAAGCTAACGTTGATACATTTTGAGTATGTACAGTAGCGGAGAGCGAAGTTTTCTGTTATACTTAGCTCATTGTAAATATACAGTAATGAACAGTAGTTTCGATATCATATTCATGTATAAATGAGAACTAGCATTTGTTATACCCCACTATGAAATTGGGGGTATATTGTAATCACCATGTCCGTTTGTCCGTCCGTCAATCAAATATTTTCGTACAAATTTATCCCAAGAACCACTATAAACAGAACGAGTTCATATTTGGTCAGAAGCTTGACAGTGGTGAGTTGTAAGGTGTGAGCCTTTTCTAAGTTGTCTGACACCTACTTCCTGTTGGCTAATACTTTAAATATTTCAATATGCTGAATGAACGTATTTTTTTGACACACATATCTTCAGTACTTCTGAACAGAATTTCTTGATAATTATCTTGTTACCAGCTTGACAATGATAAGTTGTAGCGTGTGTGCGCTTTTTGAATTACGTTGCGGTGTAAACTTAGCACAACAACGTGCGGACTTTAATGTTTTGTTTCCAAGATATTGATATAATTTAAAACTAAGTGAGAGCCTTTCCATTTTTTTTATATAGAAAAACTACTTGCCATGCCTTAACAAAAAAAGTTTGTTATTGAACGTATATGTTTATGTATAATACGTAGTTTTTGCTGGCATAATATTGTATTCATGTGACGGTGAATATCTCCAAACCTGTATAATTTAGCATACAAATACATATTTTAAAAGTTCTGTCGATAAATAGGTAAAAAATCACCATCAGTTTTTAGAGCAAATCTAAAGTATTGCTCCCATAAAATATTGAAGGGAATTCTGACAATATGAAACACCTTTGAAATGAGATGCTCTCGTCATTTTTAATGAAGCTTTTGCATCGTGATTGTATCAGATGCATATGCATAGCTTCTTATTTTAGATAACTTCTACTTCTACTTCTACCATATAGTGACCGCCTTCAACAAATTGAAGATTATGTCACAGGAGGAAACTTACAACAAGACATAGATTGATATATATACAATCTTTAAAAAATACGAAAAAAAAAAAAAAAAAAAAAAAAAAAAAATGCTTTGTATAATTAAGTATGATGTAATAGATGAGTTAATATTGATGCTTTTAAATTGAAGATTTGAAAGAGTCTACTGAAGTGCAATTTACAATGTTGTCCGGTAGTTTGTTCCAGTCGGTAATAGTTCTTGGAAAGTAGGATTCTTTTCTGTACTGTGTTTTGCAGGATGGAATTTGGAAGCTGTTCGAATTTGAATGTCTTGTTTGTCTTTTTTGTGGGATTAATTTATTATTTTTAGGTATTGCAACCTTTTCGTGTTCAATTTTATAAAGCATTACCAATCTTGAGTCTTTTCTTCTGTCAGAGAGGCTGCGCCATTCAAGATGTTGTAACATGTTACCAACGCTTGAGGTGTTTCTGTATTTGTTGGTAACAAGACGCGCAGCCCTCCTTTGAACTTTTTCAATGCTATCTATGTCTTGTTGTAAGTATGGATCCCAAACAGAGCAAGCATACTCTAGTGATGGTCTTACTAGGGACTTATATGCTTGCTCTTTAATTGATGTTGAGCTTATGTTCAGGTTCCTCCTTAGAAAGCCTAGGGTGCTATTAGCTTTCTTGCATATGTTATTTATGTGCACATCCCATTTAAGGTTGGAACTGATGGTAACCCCCAGATATTTTGCTGTTGTTACATGTTCTAGTGAGTGATTGTGTAATGTGTAGTTAAATTTGATTGGTTTTTTATTTCTGGTGACTGAAATTACATTACACTTATCTGGGTGGAATGCCATTTTCCACATACTTTCCCACGATGCCAGTTTGTCAAGATCTTTTTGTTATGTGGATGCTTCGGAATTTGATTTTATTGCCAAATACACTATTGTGTCGTCTGCAAATAAACGTACTGTAGATGTAAGACCAGTTGGAATGTCGTTAATATAATACAGGAAGAGACTTGGTCCAAGAACTGACCCCTGTGGAACCCCTGACTCAACTGCAACATACTCAGATTTTTCCCCCTCTAGAACTACTGCCTGTTTACGATTGCTTAGAAAATTTTGTATCCAGTAATTTAATTCCCCCTGTATCCCGTAATGGTGAAGCTTATTAGTTAGAAGAGAATGTGAAACTTTATCGAATGCTTTAGAAAAATCCCTGACCAAAATATCTGTTTGTTTACCGTTTTCCATGTTAAGTGAGACATCATCTATAAATTCAAGTAGTTGTGTTTCGCAGGATCGACCTCTGCGAAATCCATGCTGTAGGGGATATAAAATGTTGTGATTATCTGCATGTGTCATGATGTGTTTAACTACTATGTGTTCTAAAAGTTTGCAACAAATACATGTGAGAGATATAGGGCGGTAGTTTTCAGGGTTATATTTTTGGCCTTTTTTGTATACAGGAGAGACATGGGCAGTTTTCCAGTCATCTGGAACAACACCTGTTTTAACTGACTTCTCAAAGATAATGGTAAGTATTGGTGCAATTTCATGTGAAAGTTCTTTTAAAAATCTTGGTTTAATTTCGTCTGGTCCTGCTGCTTTACATAAAATGTTAAAACCACTCTCAATCAAACAAAAGTTATCGCTGAACTTTCCATTTCTATGTAGTAGAAACTTTTTTTGCAGCGCCTGCATATAGAGTATATATCTGACGGTTATCGCGATAGTTTGGAATACAATTTGATACTTCATTTTAAACAAAAATCAGCTGATACGGCTATTACAAATTATACATCGGGTTTTACTACACACTTACATATGTAAACCTCGACCCTCCAAAAAAAATAAAAAAATAACCAGTCATGCATGCAGGTATAATGACAAATTATAGTACATGTAATTTTAATGGTCTTTTATCAAAACTTGTATCTTTCAAAAACGTACACGGTGACAAAATTTTATAGCTATAAATACGTTACCATCATAAATTCTGAGTGTAACCCCAATTGCGTCATAGGTCAGATGGAAAATCCCGACTAAAAATAAACGTACTCTCACTGGTCCGGACATATACCCCTGTTTGCCCATATTCTCCCATTCAATTTCCATCTGCGACATCGGTCACACGTGCAAATTATTACAGATTCAACAGAGAAGTGTTTAGTTGTTTGTAAAGTTTTTTGAATAGCTTAATTGCTTTTCATATATTGTGTATATTATTGGAAATTTATTCCCTTGTTTAGTTTGAATTTCTAAACAAATTATTTGTGTTTTTTTGACTAAAGTAAATTTTATTATGGACTTTAATTTGAATAGTCCGTACGTAAATATTCCTGGTTCGGACTATCTCTTAGATGGGTCATTACCTTTAAGTCCCCCCCCAAACTACCAGTACATTGACCGGAGTTTCGACAACGGTGTCTGGTAATGCTACCTATCCGACCCTTTCACAAGGTTCGGCCATGCATTTGGGGGGGGGGGGGGGGGGTACCTACGTCAACTTCGGTGACTCATACTTTATCTAGGCCTGTTAATTCATCGGGTACTATTAGTTCTGTCCCAGGTACAGCTATGGGCTTGAACTTGCCAGGTTCTAGACCCCCATTATCCTATTGTGGGTATATGCTTCCCAACACGGGCACACAACCTTTACCCTCATGGTCTCAGCCACCTTGGCCACAGTCTTACTCTTATGGTGGGTTTATGCCAAACCAACCTGGTTTTTGGCCTTATAGGGACAATTTCTATGGTCCCCCTTCTGGGGTAGCTACTGCACCAGACCTTTAGGTCCTGCTCCACCCGTAGCAGTATCTTTGACTCCTGCAGTAGCTCCTTCTACCACCGTACTTGACTCTCGAGCTCAATCTTCTAGCTCCTCTCATGGTACTCAGGGTTCTGATCATGCATCATCTTTGGATGGTTTTCAGAAGTTACTTTTGGACTTTGGTGAGTCTTTCAAGGCTGAATTTAGTACTCTATCCAGTCGTATGTCTCTACTGGAGAATAGAGTTTCTTCTCATTAACCTTCTCCAGCTAAGTCTGTAGAATGTGATGAGAGGGAGGATGATGAGCTTTCTGTTTCCCCTGGGAGTCATGAAAGGGCTTTCCTCACTGATGAGGATGTTGAAAGTTCTTCTTCTCCCAAGGTATCGAAGACGGCCCCTGAGCCTTCTTCTAAGTTAGCTCAACAACCTCCCACCAAGGAGACTGAGGATCCTCCATCCTTGAAGGATCTTAGGGATAAGGTGTATACCTTGATGAGGGATGAAGCACATATCCCTTTTGCCTCTCCTTCCAAGCCGAAGAAACCTTCTTCAACTTTTGAAGCTTCCTGTGGTAATATTTTCTCAGGATACTGTGACTTCTCACAATTCTTTTCCTGAATCTGGCCATATGGCATTTGCTTTACAATTTATTAATGAAGGTATCGCTAATTCTGCTAGTGAAAAGGTTGCTAATAACAATATCTCTGGATTTGGAATGTCATCCTTTTCTGATCAGGTGAT